GGGGAAATGTAAGAGAAAATCATTTAGATCATACCTAAGCAGTCTCAGGCAGGCAAGTGACCTATTCTAGCCTGGTATAAAAGCAATACAAGTAGAATCTAATGGGGCACTTATTCTCCCACTGGTTCCCTTCTGCCCATCAATTGTGTTGCACAAGCATCTGCTACTGCTTGCAAAATGACTGTTTAGCACTTCTGGGGAAGATGAAATGAGTGGACATGCTCAATTCCAGAAGGGGGAAGGTTGCTATTGTTCCTTTAAGGTTCTTTTGCTGACATCCCTTCTTCAAGAAATGAGCACTTCCACTCATTTGCAGGCTTCCTCTAGGAAGCATTAAATCTCCCTTGCATAAGCAGCTCAGCACAATTGTTGGGACCCACCACTTGCAGAAGGAATCAGCAAGAGAGAAAAGAAATGGTGGGGACATTTGCCGTTTATGTAGTAGTTCTCAGAGGACTACATTGTATCAGCATCAGTACAGTCCCTACTGTGTCTTCGTTTCAGAAAAGATAATATATCATTTGAGGTTCAGGTTTCAACTAATACAAAATAAACAAAAAATATTGACTGTGTGTGTGTATTAGCATTTTTCTTAAAGGGATTTTTGGTACTTCTGCAAAGATTGCTGCTGTCTCTCTCTTCTGCATAGCTGCTACCATTTTAGCTACATAAGAACTGCCTCTGAGAGAAATGAGTTTTCTGTTTACCTACATATCCATCCTCATTGCCAAATTGCAGAAGAAAGATCATTCTGTCTCAGCCTGATGCTTTGTAAGCCGCCCCGAGGCTTTCTGTGATGGGGGTGGCATAAAAATGTTATAAATAAATAAATAAATGCTGAAAAGATAATCAAGTTACCTGATGAACCTCCATGGGAGATTATTCAGTAATTTGGGGGGTTCCACAGAGGCAGGCCTCCTTCTTGTTAACCGCAGCCAAGCCTCCCTTGGAGGTGGCATTGGGAGGAAGAGCCCAGATGTTTGGGTACATAGCAATTAAAAGAGTGTTACATCAGGTATGTTGGCCCCATGCCAAAACAGGTACCTTGAATTGGACTGAAAAGCATAGAGGCAGCCAGTGCAAGTGGGCCAGAATGGGAGTTATATGTTTAGACTGGGCTGAGTTAGTAGCCTGGCTTCCGCATTTTTCACAAGCTGTAGTTTTCAAACTGTCTGCAAGGGCAGCCCATCATATAGCAGCAGTCCCCAACCTCTTTGGCACCAGGGACTGGCTTCATGGAAAACAACTTTTCCATGGACTGAGGGGCGGGAGGATGGTTTCTGGATGATTTGAACACATTACATTTATCATGCACTTTATTTCCATGATTATTACATTGTAATATATAGTGAAATAATTATATAATTCACCATCATGCAGACTCAGTGGGAGCCTGCCTCCGACCTGCAGCCCTGCAGCCCAGCCCTTACCTGCTTTCCAGTTCCTTCACCTTCCATATGCCTTCCTTGGCTTCTCCACTCCACTTGCTTCCCAGCTCTGCTGTTGCCACCATCGTCGCCACTGCTCCCTCTTTCTTTTGAGGCCCAAGACCCAAAAGGGCCCTAATGAGAATTCCTGATGGTGATGCTTGCACTGGGGAGCAGCTGCAAATACAGATGAAGCTTTGTTCACACACCCGCTGCTCACCTCCTGCTGTGAAACCCAGTTCCAAACAGGCCATGGACCAGTACTGGTCCACAGCCTAGGAGTCGGGGAACCCACCATATAGAACACACCACAGTAGTTTAGCTTAGAGACATAGCTGGGTCACCAGCCAAAGCTGGTTAGTTGAACAATTAGCAGTAGAAAGCAACACTCCTTAACCCTTTATGTGAGTTTCTGCTCAAAAGCATCTGCATTCTGTTGATTGCTTTTCTGTTGATAACGTAATTTCCCTGGTGGGTAGGCAAACAGTGTGTATGGTATGGTGGGGATTTGAGCAGCAATGAGTTGGCAGAGGAAGGGAAGGGAAGGGAAGGGAAGGGAAGGGAAGGGAAGGGAAGGGAAGGGAAGAGCAGAGCAGAGCAGAGCAGAGCAGAGCAGAGCAGAGCAGAGCAGAGCAGAGCATAATAGAGCTACATGCATTGTGTACTTTATGTCCTATGACAATGGGGCATACAAACATGTTTGAACATAAGCCCATGAATATGATGACTTGTTTTTTAATCTGCACCTGGTTCTTTACTGTAGAAAATCGTTTTGACTCATGGTGAAGATTAGCCTGGCAATTTTAGAGACATTTAAATTCAAAGAGTTAAATAAAGGCAAGGTAATATCACCCACAAAAGGAAAAGAAAGAGTAATTCAAACTTTTCTTGCTCACTGAAGGATGTGCTTGTGGGAAGAGGAATGCATGCAGCCTTGTAAGGAGACATTCTGTGTGAAAAGAATGAAGGATCACAATTCCTGCTGACACTCGATTTCTTTCCTAGTATGAGCACCAGCTAAACAATCAATAGCCTGCAAGCTAAAAAGGTCTGTATCAATATGAAACCCCCATGGCATCTTGTTCTGATGCTTTTGACATTTGTTCAGAGTACATTTAAATGGAGTTCTCTAATGAGCTCTGCAAAAGTATTTTCCTGTGTCTCAATGGAACAACAGCTGACTTCCTCGTATGTTTTTCTAAAGAGACATTGACATGATTAGAAGATGCTATTTTCCGTGAGACTAATTGTATTCCTTTCAATTATATTGCTCTGCAGGGCATTCTGTATACGTTTACCAGCACAGAGGACTAGCAAAGTATCTTGTAGTTAAGTTAGAGGTGTGAACTCTGGCGCTGCGGGCGGGGGGAGCACACAGCCGTCCACTCAAGTGCAAATCTGCTGGGAAGTTCCAGGTTCACTGAATGATGAGGCATTACAGTGCTGGAGTTCACCACCTTTGTGGTGCAGCAGGGGCATGGTGAATGTTTAAAGCAGGGGTGGGCAACCTTTTCGAACCATGGGCACAGGAGAACTATGTAGGCCACCTTGAGTTCCTTGAAAGGAAAAAAGGAATGATCGTAACTACGACTGCAATTATAGCTACAAGTAAATTTGGACATTTAAGAAACTATGCTGAATACATGCACCAAATATGCTTGTGCATGGGAGATGTAACAAAGTACAAGTAACCTGCATGAAATACTGAGTGCTATTTAAAAGGCTGGGGTCTGTGCCAAAGACACTGAACAGTTTCTTTAGATCCACACTGTTCAACACCAACAGAAATCTGTTTCTAAACAATCACAGGCAGCTGCAAATATGGAGAAGTGTTCATTTTAAAATATCAGTTAGGAAGGGCAGGGTACCTGGGCAGGTGCCAAGAAAGTTGTCTGAGTGCACATCAGGACCCACAAGGACCAGGTTGTTTACATGTGATTTCAAGAATAACAATGACAAACAGTACAAACCTATGTCTATTCATAAATATGTTCAACTGAGTTAAATGAGGCTTACTCCCAGGAAGTGGGTACAGGATTGCAGCCAAATTCAACCAAGTTACAAAATGGAACTGATATTTTGTGCTACAAGCATAATTAAGTAAAAAAACTAAATCATTCATGTAGTCCTATTCTATATGACACAAAGAAATCCCCATTTTGATGAACTAGGGTGATTGAACTTTGAGAATTTCTCTGATCATAAGGATAGTGCATTCTAAACTTGATTTTATTTTCAAGTTGCACAAAACTGAACAAGAACTTTCGAACACATTCCACCTAATACATGATTTTGTGCATATTTTTGCCCATTTAACACATTTTCAGCAATATTGTGCAAAATTCCTTTTCTATTGAATTTTAACATTAGTTTTGCTAATAAGCATATATTGTACACATTTTAAAATTTTATTTTAGTTGTAACAAAACAAGGAAAAGGAATGCAAATATCTCCAAACAATAACAAAAAGGGACAAAACTAAAAGCATATCTAATTGCAAGAATTGTTAACATCATAGATTTTTTTAATGTCTTGACACTTACACTTCCAGATAGAACTGAAGACTGTAAAGCATTCATTCAAATCTATCAAGAGCAATGTCCATGAGGAGGATGGGAGGAAATGCACAAGGAAATGTAATTGTCAATATTTTACTTGTTCTATTAAGGCATCTCTAGATTCTGGACAATTGAGTGGTAAGTGAATAAGATTCAGAACATTGCAAGGTAGAATAATATGAGGATGAACAAAGTATCAACAAGCTGATGTTATCAAAAGCACCCCCCTGAAAGCAAGCAAGCAAGCAAGCAAGCAAGCAAGCAAGCTAGCTAGCTAGCTAGCTAGCTAGCTAGCTAGCTTCTGGAAAGAGATGTATTAAAAACATACACACAGTGTTAAATGACACATTGAATCAATTGTGTAACATAGTGCTAAAGACTTTTTTTTTACTGTAGAGTCGCTACATCCAGCCCCAATTCAGACTGGGAATACCATGCACTGGAAGATTCAAGTTCCCCAAATGATTAAAAGTGGGGGGAGTCTCAACTGCCTCCAAATGGGTTAACCCTTCTCTTTCCAGTGTCTCGTGTCCCACACACACTTTGTCTCGAGTTTAAAAATAATAAAAAAAACACACCCATCCTCAGATGCACACAGTTTGACCCACAGAGAGGGTCACACTGGTTGTCCCATTTAATTCAGTAGAAAAAATGTCTATATTTATAATTAAGATATTACATTGCATTGTTTCTGCTTCAGCTGTATTCATGAGAGGGCTTCAGTGGTCCAAAACGTCTGAAATCATTTTCACATGTATTAGTAGTCATCATGCTTCTTGGAGGAATGATCCTGTAGACATAATTTAGACAGTTTGGATTCACAGCTCCAAGGCTGAAGCATCTGCTGAAACTCCAGTGGATTGGTAACCACATCACAGTATAAAGCATAGTGAATGCACCCCATATCTTTTGCATATAGTCTCTTTTATGTGAGCATACCTCATATCCAATCCTCCCACATGCTGCAAACTGCAGCATTTTATTGCAGCTCAAATAACACAGTCAAGAAGGAATCTTCATTTTGTAGAAGCATTTTATTTTTAAAAAATACATGACACAACTCTAATCATTGCTCAGATACATTTCTATGGAACTGAATGTTAATTAAATTCCAAGCTGACATTCTAGATACAAGAGCTGTCAGATGATCTGTCAGTGATCATAAATATTTTAATTTAAATATCTCACTTTAGTCTGGAGATATATTGTGATAGAGTTTAAGGAATTATTTTGTACATAATACAGGCAGTACTAAATGATGATTTGCAGCCTCTGCCACTCAAACAAATTAAAGTTGCATGTACTTAACTACCATCAAAAATAACAGGACAAGTTAGTAATGCCTAAGTTAAGTCTCACTTATTTCAATAAGATTTAAGGACAACCAACCACATCACATGACCATGTGTGTTTCTATTCAGGACTTCAACAGGGATAAATATGGAATAAATCCCAGGTAACTTGGCATAAAGTTGCAGTTTTAGCTGGACTAAGGTCTGTACATCCACCAGCTTTACTGAATGGGTCAGATAATGTCTCATGCACACATTGTTTCAGACCATTAAATCTTATTCCCCAAAACATTTCCCTTGACCAAAAACTCTGTGACTTCCATGTGTATATGACAAGTACCTGAGTTGCTGGGACAAGGAAAATTATGTGGAAGCAAATCCTAGATTTCAATAAAGCTTTCTTTCCACTGTGTGTTAGAAGGCACTGTGACAGCCTGTAGGATACATCGCTGTATTCTGTACATTGAAGGCCCAGTTGCATGCTCACTTTGCAGTTCTAATCGCTGGAGATGAACCCTATTAAATCCAGAGAACCAGATTTCCAAAGCTTGAGACCAGTGGCCATTTTGCACACTGGAAAGAGAGAAAGCATAGATGACTCATGCTCCACCCTAGCCAACCTCCACTAATCAGATGAAGCGGAGAGTTGTACATCTTCTGCATGCAGGGACAGACCATATCCCACATTTGAATAAAACCAGATGGCAGGGATATGGCTCTCAAGTCAATGAAAAGCGCAAAATAAACTTATGAATCATTAGATTCCAAATAACCACTGTGTGAAGTAGATGCAGTTTTACTTCCTCCTACAAAGAAAATGTGTTGTTTTCCAGTTTTACTCCAACATAAACATACCTTGGTAATATCTGATTGTAGCTTACATTATCATTGTAACATGGATGCTACCTATTTTATAGGAAATGATCAAATATAAAGACTCATGAAAAAAGGAGGAATACAATAATGAATGGCACATGGAAGAACATAGGATATCCTCAGTGGGAGATGTTCTGGATAAAATCCCAGTGGCTTACACCCTGAATTATTAAAAGTCTCTTTAAATTAATAAGGAATTAACGCTTAACATTACATAGATGTAAAATAGGTAATGGAAGATAATCCAGTGTAGTATAGCTGAAATCTGTGTTTAGAACAAAAAACAGCCACAAGCATAACAAAACCCAAAATCCTCCTTCCAGCCCTGATAGTTAAAGAATGCTGGGAACAGTAGGACATCTGCATCTAAACATGTATGGTGTTGTGCTCATGGGTGGTGTCAGGGGGTGGCCCATCAGGCTGAAGCTCTAAATTTTTGATCTCTGGTTTAGCTGGCTTTTTGCCCACTTGACCTCCTGTTATCCCTCCTTGAACCTTTCTACTTCAGACTTTATTTTCTGAAACCCAATGTCCTCCTCTCTCTCATCTATACATACCTTTCTTTTCCAAATTCAGGTATATTTAGGAGTCAGAGTCTATTAAAGATACATATAGAAAGAGACTTTTGAGCATGTATGAATTAACAAGTGCAAACTTGTATGTTTTATTTTGTCCTGGGGACGTGAGACTTAGATCTTTTCAGTACCTAGTACTGCCTCTGATTGTGCCCTCAATCTAATCCTTGAATTCAATTCTTATTCATAAAGTAATGGCACAAGGGGTGCTAGCTAAGTGCAACCTGTACAATGTTAAAGACCTGAAAATGATCTTCTGAGGTGTCTTACATAAACTGTGGGAATACTTCAGACTAACTAATGATAGGCATCAGCTGATTTTTTTTTTAAACACCAGAGGCTTGAGAATTATACCATATAGCACACAAAATATATAATGGTATCTAAATGTATTAATAAATTATTACAAACTATGATGGCCAATCTGCTATTAATTCATGTTTCCACTAGGAACTGACAGATTAGCAAGCTCAACAATGTTATCCTGAAGGCATTAATATAATGTCAAATGCTACAGCCACATTTTTTAAAACATGAGGCAGTCAGGAGAAATCTCTATGCAAAACTTTTTCATAACATACACAATGTAGTCTTCAGTACTCAGGAGAAATATTTCCTTTCTTGTATTAAAATGGGGTTTTTTAAGCACAGCAGCCAGTTGATGTTTATGTGTGAGGGAGAACTCCAGGTCTAAATACAAGAAAGAATTTTTCAAAGTACAAATAATGCATCATTCATCCATTCTCATTGGCCTTTAATTTGTTGAACAGCTTCATATATAAACCTCCCCTCATAGCTACAGGCAACATGGCTGTTTTGTATTAAAACCCACAGGTTGTTTAGTGTTCCATATCACCTGGTTGACATACTGTATAAGGTATGGACCTACCAGTTTGGTAGGCCTAGTCTAAAATATAAGTTCAGGAGTAGGCTGAACTTGTTCTCGCCTAGCTATTATATATACACACACATAGAACCCTTCTATTTACTACATTTGTATGATGTCATTTGTGGTAACAAATAATAGACCAAACAAAAGTTGCCAAATTCTTATTCACTTTTATGGCACTGTAAAACCCACTTTTTTGGGTGCCGACACCCAAGTCTAAGTTTCCCTCCAGTCATAGGCTGAGGCAGGAAAAATGCTATTCGGTGAAATGTGCATCAGATTCAGAGAGATGAAACACTAATTTTTGAACAGGTTAACTGTCTAGCAAGCCAAGCTCATAGGGTACTGCTACTTCTTTGATGCTGTGACAAGCCGTAAACATCTCCTTGTGATATATGGAATTACTGGCTTGAAAAAGTGAGGAGGGCGAATACCCCCACTCTTGCCCCACTGCTTGCCTCACTCTGACACCTTGTTGTGTAAACAAGTGTTAATGTGTGTAGGAAAGTTAGGTAGGGTCCACATTAGGACTGAACCGTGAGCTCTGAGTGCTCACTGGTGCCAATGGACTGTTTTTCTCAACTTAATTACCATGCAGGGGGCAGTTTTCAAGGGAAGAGAAGGATTAACCATCCCTTCCCACATGCTGAAGCCCTCTCAATAATTCCTCTCCCCATGTGGCAATATAGCTTTGCAAATAGCCTTTTTCCATTGGTTTGGCATGATCTGAGGCCAGGCCCAATTTAATTGAAGGATTCTGTTTGAGTGGTTTGGATAAGAAATTTCTTGGCTGCTTTTCCAAGGAAATTTAAATAAACCTTAGTAATTGTGTCTATATTTGCATATCCAAATTCTTCTACCCAAAGATTATGCACATTTGTGTCCTATGGGTCTGAGTCCTGAATTTTTTACAATATCTAGTATTGACCCTGTTCATAGGCTATCCACCCTGATCTTTCAGGTTCCTAATCTCCAGAACTATTCAAGGCATTGTCTGGCAGTGGGTTGGCAGGTAGGGAATGAAGCAGTATTCTCAGCAACTGCAAAGATGAAATGGAGAGAGAGCTGAGATTACTATGAGAGGGCAACTGATTTGCAATCAGTTCATGGTTCATTACCACCAGAGTCTGGTGAGTCTTTTCTTATTGAAGGCATTTGAAATGCTGTATGACACATCTACATGGACAATGTTTAGACTGAATTGTCAATTGAATTATATGAATAGGGAAATTTAATTTTCACATGCCTCCCTCTCTATAGCTGAGAATTAAGTGTATTTCTAATTTGTATGACGGAAGAGTATTTATTCATTTATATATTGAATATCCTGCTCAAGGCAGCTTCATCCACATGAACCTGACCCATAGGAAGACACCACCTTATCCATATTAATCCATTGTTTCTTCCAGGCACGGTCTCCATAAAATAAGCATAGTTTTCAACTATGTGGATAACAGCAAGGTGTCCCCTATTGCTGTCTCTGAGTCTTGACTGTGAGAAGAACTGATTCCAGTATCTGAGTCTGTGTCATTTATGTCTAAATTAGTCATTTTATGAAGTAGGTCTGTCCCTGTAAAGCTCTTGGTGGCAACTTCACTCTCCTTTGCTTGTTCCTCACTAGGTGGGTACCTGTACTCAGCTGCGTCTTTTGCGGGCAAAGCATTAAGCTCTTCTGCCAGGAGATCATATTCTTTCTCCTTGTTTTGAAGCATTATGTCCCTGTATTTTAGCTCCTGCTGGATGCAGTTCAGTTGTGAATGGATTCTTAAGGCATCTTGCATACTTTTCTCCAGCTCATCCTTGACACCTTGTACATCAGTACTTTCCATATCAGCTTTAGATGCCTCCTCTGTCCACATGTCTCCATTTTTTTCAATTGCCTTTACTTCTTGCTCTATTTCAGCAGATAGCTTTTCAATCAGTAGTTTGTGATACTTCAGTCCTTCTTCCACTTGTAAAATCCTCTCACTTCTATATGCACTATCTTGCACCTGTTGATGGGTGAAAGGCATTTCCATTTGTTGTTCTGCAGCATTAGTAGAAGTAGCCATTAAGTAGGACTCCTGCACATAATTTTCCCCATTGCTCTCAAGCTGAGCAAGGTGAAATTGGGCTTCACACTGTTCAATCTCTAAATCCAGTTCCTTCATTCGGTTGATTTGCTGGTGAATGGTGTGGTCCTGAGAAAGGATCAAATGGATAAGTGTCTCTATATTGTCCCTCTCTTTCAGAACCCCTTCCTGTTTCAGTTTTGCCAGCTTCCGGAAGGTTTTCCTAACAATCCTTTTCTGCTTGTCCACTGGCAACATCTTCATGTAATTTGCTGGGCTGAGATCCCAGTGCTTTTCCAGATTTGGTACCACCTTAGCTTCAGCTGTCCTCCACAATGGGAAGGGAAGGAAGGCATCTGCTTTGACCAAGACAAAATGCAAGTTAGGCTGCTCTTCCCCCCAGGCTTTCCAGAGCCTTAGCATTTTTGTGAGAGGTGGAAGAACCCGTTCGGAACCTCTCCATTTTTCTATAATACAATAATCTTTGGGCTGTCCAAAAAGAAACCTTTTTTCTGCTAAGGTGGCTTGATGTTCTTCAAGCAGGGCTTCAATCACCTGCATGCAGGTTGTGCGCTTTGTCAGTCCACTGACAATTTTCTCTTCCTGGCAAACCCAGACTACAATTTCCTGGTCAGTGGCTCCCATCTCTTTCACTGGTGATCTGAAATTAAAGAAATAAAATATTATTGACAGTAGTTATATCTTCGTGTTGCATTAGCTATCATACATATTCAAGGCCCTTAAACTGCAGATGAGCTTTGTGATAAGGTGTTAGTTCAAAATGGTTACAGCTGTGACAAAGTGCGTGCCTATTAGCCGATTGCTTAATTATCCTTAAAGAAGTAACTCCAAGTAGATGCAATCCAGCATCTTTTAAGCAGGCTTTACTGGCCCTCTCAACAGCAGCTGGGAACCACCACAGGTGACTGCTGTTCAACTACAGCAAGCAGCAGAGGTCATGGCATGGGGGTAAGAGGTCAACTACACCAGAGAAATCAAATTTCCCCTGCAATAAATGCCTCAAGCATATAATGGGCATGCTCAGCCTTTCAATCCTGCATACTCTTATGTAGTGGAACTGGTGACTGAATGAACACATAGGATCCCACTGAAGGTCTCCCTGGATTTCAGTGGAACTTAAGCAAGCCACATCTCTTCTGACCCAAATCCCTTGTGCAGAATTGCATAACACTAAGGAAAGCAGCTTTGGGATCTTTGTGGAAGGACAAGTTAGCAATGCTTATTTATGAACAAATACATAAATCCGCAGCCTGTAAGAGGCAGCCCTTCACTGCTCTTCTTTTGTTTACTGCTACTTCTGCTGCAATGTCCCTAAATACTGTATTGCGTATCTTCTGGGCATGGACATTTTTTCTCCTTTCAAAGGGCTTTATTTTGACATAATGCTACATGTGCACCTGCATACAAATGCCAAACTTTTGCTGGCACATGTGGATGATATAGAGCAATAGTGATGGTAAGAAGATCTAAAGCAGGGATGGGCCACACACAATTCCCACCAAGCCTTCCCATCATAGCCAATGCTGAGGGCTCATGGTAGGTTTGGGCTCAAATTTCTGGAATGCCACAAGTTGCCCACGCACCCTGATCTAAAGTTTTAGAGTGGTAATTTTGCAAAAGCCTCCAGAGGAAGATGAAAAACCAAACGGGAAGATCAGGAATAGCATGGCAATCTATTTGTTAGGAACCAGTACTGGTGCATTAACGAGAAAACTCACGAAGAGGACATCATGTATGAAGCATATCTCCTCCTGCGATCATTATGTGTTCACAGCTTCCTCCCCTCCCTGCCCCTGGGTGCACAGAGGATACTAATCAACTAACTATAGGATTGTACAGTCTGCATGAGCTGCCTGGGGTATTTTAGGTATAAATCATGTTCAAAAGGGCAGATGCAGAGACATGCTATTCCAGGAAAAGGCACTGACATTTCCTGCAGCAAATGTGCAAAGCAACAACAAGTGTTCATCTTACGTAGTTCCCTATTGGTATCTAACCAGATCAATATGCCTGGCTTTCCAGAATGAGCTGCAACTTCCCAGTGTATGCACATGCATGTCTGCCCTGATCACTCACCATTTGTCCCCCAGTATTTTTCCTCTCCCCACCTCCCCAGTAATAGAAATACTATGAGTATAAAAGGAATGAGTATAAAAGGCCTTTTAAAATTTGGCCCAATTTATGTGCTGAGACATTTTGGTGACAATTACAACACATTTCTTCAGACAAAGGACAAATGTTGCAACAGTTTCAGATGCACAGCTCTGGACTAGCTGGACCCTTTTATGCTGTTTCATTCATTCTGCCATTTTCACAGGGCAGAGGAGCAATGTGGTGTCCACATCTAGGGTTAGTGCTGTGCCAAATTCCAGTTACCTGAAAGTGTGTGTGTGTTTCCCTAATGAAATGGACTTCAATTGTTTCTCCCTCATTCCTGGAGGAGTTCCTAATTTAATTTTAATTTCTTATCCTGGTGATTTGAGTACCACTGGAGGGATACTGTGCATCTGTTTTTCTTCTGTTGCACATCTCTGAAATGCTCTGCAGCTGCCCAGGCTGCCTCTGCTTCCTGATCTGAAAAAAGCCCTGATGGAAGGATTAGCTCATGAGGTCTTCCCTTTATGGAGGTTTCCATTAGAACTGTGGGAAGCTGAGGAGGCTGCAGACTGCCAGAAATATGATTATACAATTATAATGAGGCCATCTCACACACTCCTCAGCCACCAAGTAAGTAACATAAGAACAAGAATCCTGAACCAAGCACATGAGAACATTTCTGAAATGTCTGCCCCTTTACTTTTCTTCCTGAAAGCAGTTTATTTTCAATCAGATAGAATGAGAATGATTAAAGATTTGTGGAAGCATACCACAGCATTTCTATTATGCCTTCAGCAGATATGCTATATATAGTGCAGAGCTGCTGAAATAAGAGTGGAACTGGCTTACCTTTCAAAAGTAATAAAAGACAGCTAGAAACACCTTTATGTTTACATTTCACTCCTCCATACTCCTAACATCAGCCTCATTAGCTGGGTGTGGACTGTTGTGTAGCCAAAATGGCACCATCCACACACAAGAGGGAGGTATCAGCAGCTCTGGAGAATCTCTAACCATGCCAGAAGTAACAATAACAAGGCTAAAATGAAGACCTAGGGAAATTCTAGAGCAGCTCAAATAGGACTGAGCAGGGAGGGTTGGCTGTTGGAGGTGAGGAGCACATTCCAGGGAACTGGTGGGGCAGAAGTGAAGGAGTGTAGTAGCATGGCCAGCTGGAATGAAACACTGAACGTTTTGCTGTAAGCCGCAAATTAATACATGACTCTCAGGTGAAGTAGGTGATGGGGACCTCACTGTTTCCAACCAAAGTGTCTGCCAAAGGGTGTAAAAAACTGTGATGGAGAGATTGGCTTCATTTTTTTCCATATCCGTGTTATAAACAGCTGTTAGACTACAAGAAAAGTCAACTTGACATAGAGAGAAGTTTAGAAATGTAAAAGCCTACTAAAATGTTCCTTTCACTCAAATCACCTTACTTATGCACCAACAATAGTAAGCAAACTACAGTATGCTCTTGTAACCCTCTCCCACCTGTTTGGCATACAGCCTCCCACTGCCCATGGTTGGTTTGTGCCCTCCAGAGCATATTCCCACTCACATCCTATTCTGGTTACTTTCCAATATTAAGGTTTTAACTAGCTGGTTCCCACAAAATCCCTTAAGAATAAACTAACCTCCATATATTATTTTTACCAGCAGTCTCACAACACAGGAAAGCTTCAGAGAAAAGTGGAGATTTAGTATGATTACTTCCTTCAAAAGTGCCAAGTATTTAGCACTCTGCATCTTGCATATCTTTGCATATGTATAGTTCTAGATCAATAAAATGTTTTAATGTGCAAAATAATATTACTTCGTTTGTATCCATTTAGCGTTGTAACAACAACATTTGGTAGATCAGTGGTTACTCGTTTTGCTGACAAAAACCAAGTTAGTGTTTTTCCCAATGAATCTTTAGCTGACCAGCCATCTCCAGATCCAATATTTTAACAGACAATAGCAATCTTCACTATCTGGTGGGCTGAAGGAGTCACAAAACAGTTATGTTAAAGTACTAGTATAGGACCAACTAGTAAGTATTTTTAGAGCTGTGATTTTAAGTTGTGATTCTTCAAAACTCTACATATTTGTTCAATTGCATTAATGACCTGCCCTGCTCCAGGGACTCAAAAGTGGATGACAATACCCCATAATCTGCTCCATCCATGGCAATCAAATTCCTTCTTGGAGCTTACACAGTTTCTGGAAGATGCACAGGTTCAGGCTTTGGTAAATCTCCAGCAGAAATCCACATCTGGAAGCAGCTATCAATAGTGCTTTGTGCTTTTCCCCCCAAACTCTATTTAGTACATATAGAGTATACTTAAAAGATTTTTCCAAAGGTCTCACAAAGCAAAAAGTTACAGTGAATAAATGTGACATTCAAGCTGTGGCACCACTAGTTGTCAATCACTTGGCAAAGGGCTGGGAACCTAAACTGCTAGATCACCCCAGAAGGTCCCCAAACCATGATGAAGGGGTAGTCTGGGAGTTGTGAACTCAGTTGTGAAATTGAAATGGTGCAGCTGCATGCCATTTGGCTTAAAAACCTTCCACTACAGCAAGAATAACACAAAATTCAGCCAATCAGATTCCATCTCTGTGGTCATGCAGCCAATAAGGAGTTCTAAGATGCAAGCAGAGCTGCCCCATCAAGATGACAACATTTAGAGGGTCACAGAATGTGAAAGACCATCACATTGTCAGAGTGTGTTTCTATATGGATATAATAGTGGGTTGTTACTGTTTTTTTTAAAGCATATTAGCTTGATAGTAATATCAATTATAACATAAAATGGAATTATTACATAAAAAAGGAGAGAAAGAGAGTAGTAAAAAGACAAAGACTGACAACATTTCTTCTGAACATATTGCAATCTTTAAAAAAAAATCCCCCATCTCTCTGCAAGTTTGCATAGCCAGAAAGGCCATAGAAAGACCATTCTTAGCCAACAGATAATCAGTTAAAATGAAATTAATATATATGTAAAGGATTGCAACAGAGATCTGCAATAAATGTCAACAATCTCTGAAGCAGATATTTGCTTTAAGCCACAGAATATATAAAAGAGTAAGACCCAGACTGGAATGAACAATTATTTAAGGTACTCAGTATCCAATGGCTACAACAAGTAAGGAAACCCAAGATGATTAAACACATTAACACAATTCTTATCAAGTACAACTGATAGCCTCATGCATATCTACCAGGTGCTGATAAAAGCACAGAGGAGAAATCTGCCAAGAATTATTCCATTTTGGCTCCACTGAACTGAATGGGAAATGTATCAGTGAAAATCCTATTAATACTGCCCTTGAAAATTTAAACTCTATGTCTCTGGGCACATCAGCAGACACTAGTCAGGCCTCCTATTAGAAAGGAGGAATGTCATGGTTGTATCTTGTATCAGGTAATACATTTGTACACGACCCCATATTGTTCAGCATTAATTAAGATACTGTGTAGACAAAGAACTCATATTAGAATTGTGTGAAGCAGCAGATAGGTCTTGCTGAATATAACCATGAAACTCTGTGAACTGA